CCCAGACATACAATAGCACCAATTTATACACAAGACCCAGACATACACTAGCACCTATTTATACACAATACCCAGACATACAATAGCACACATTTATACACAAGACTTATACATACACTAGCACCCATATATACACAATACCTAGACGTACACTAGCACCCATATATACACAATACCCAGACATACAATAGCACCCATTTATACACAATACCCAGACATACAATAGCACCCATATATACACAATACCCAGACATACACTAGCACCCATATATACACAATACCCAGACATACAATAGCACCCATATATACACAATACCCAGACATACAATAGCACCCATATATACACAATACCCAGACATACAATAACACCCATTTATACACAATACCCAGACATACAATAGCACACATATATACACAATACCCAGACATACACTAGCACCCATTTATACACAATACCCAGACATACAATAGCACCCATATATACACAATACCCAGACATACAATAGCACCCATTTATACGCAATACCCAGACAAACACTAGCACCCATTTATACAAAATACCCAGACATACACTAGCACCCATTTATACACAATACCCAGACATACACTAGCACCCATATATACACAATACTCAGACATACACTACCACCCATTTATACACAATACCCAGACATACACTACCACCCATATATACACAATACCCAGACATACACTAGCACCCATATATACGCAATACCCAGACATACACTAGCACCCATTTATACAAAATACCCAGACATACACTAGCACCCATTTATACACAATACCCAGACATACACTAGCACCCATATATACACAATACCCAGACATACACTACCACCCATTTATACACAATACCCAGACATACACTAGCACCCATATATACGCAATACCCAGACATACACTAGCACCCATTTATACAAAATACCCAGACATACACTAGCACCCATTTATACACAATACCCAGACATACACTAGCACCCATATATACACAATACCCAGACATACACTACCACCCATTTATACACAATACCCAGACATACACTACCACCCATATATACACAATACCCAGACATACACTAGCACCCATATATACACAATACTCAGACATACAATAGCACCCATATATACACAATACCCAGACATACAATAGCACCCATATATATATACAATACCCAGACATACAATAGCACCCATATATACACAATACCCAGACATACAATAGCACCCATATATACACAATACCCAGACATACAATAGCACCCATATATACACTATACCCAGATATACAATAGCACCCATTTATACACAATACCCAGACATACAATAGCACCCATTTATATACAATACCCAGACATACACTAGCACACATATATATATATATATATATATATATATATATATATATATATATATATATATATACAATACCCAGATATACAAAAGCATCCATATATACGCAATAACCAGACATACACTAGCACCCATATATATACAATACCCAGACATACACTAGCACCCATATATATACAATACCCAGACATACACTAGCACCCATATATATACAATACCCAGACATACACTAGCACCCATTTATATACAATACATAGACATACACTAGCACCCATATATATACAATACCCAGACATACACTAGCACCCATTTATACACAATACCCAGACATACACTAGCACCCATTTATATACAATACCCAGACATACACTAGCACCCATATATATACAATACCCAGACATACACTAGCACCCATATATATACAATACCCAGACATACACTAGCACCCATATATATACAATACCCAGACATACACTAGCACCCATTTATACACAATACCCAGACATACACTAGCACCCATTTATATACAATACCTAGACATACACTAGCACCCATATATATACAATACCCAGACATACACTAGCACCCATATATACGCAATACCCAGACATACACGCACACACACACGTCTATTCCTTCATACACAATACACATACATGAACATACCTTTTCGAACACCCACATATACACACTCATACATACTTATTTATGCAAAGACATAATATAAACTCTCATGCATTAACATACTCATGCTTACTCATACACACAAGCACACTCATGCATACATATCACATACAAACACATATTTACTTACACACAGACAGGCAGACATACAGACAGACAGAAAGTCAGAAACTTACTACTCTGCCAGCTTCATTATTATGCAAATTAATCATATAGCGGAAGTCATGACCCTTCTCGAGGACGTCGACGAACTTTCTGGAGAACTTGTGGCCGAACCTGGCGTTGTCGCTGCAGCCACTCCACTCCCAGTCACGGCCTGTGGGTCTGGCTTGGGTCTGGGTGTCACAGGAACATGTGCTGATGCTGCCCTCAGAGCAGGCTCGACCCACAGAGTGGGAGACTGCCGCACTGGTTACGGCGTATATGAAAGCTGTCTCTCGGCAACCTGAGTCAAGGAGAGGACATTTGTGAGATGAGGTGATACATAGGCGATGATTTATGAAATGTGTGAAAAGGGGAGATACAGGGGCGATAAGTTATAACGTGTGTGAAATGGGGAGATACAGGGCCAATAAGTTATTGATGAAGTGTGCGAAATGGGGAGATACAGGGACGCCGAGTTATAAAATGTGGGAAATGGGGAAAGACAGACCCGATATGTTATAAAGTGTGTGAAATGGGGAGATACAGGGGTGATAAGTTATCAATTGTGTGAAATGAGGTAATACAGGGGCGATAAGTTATTGATACAGTGTGTGAAATGGGAAGATCAGGGGCGATGAGTTATAAAATGTGTGAAATGGGGAAAGACAGAGCTGATAAGTTATAAAGTGTGTTAAATAGGGAGATACAGGGGTGATAAGTTATCAATTGTGTGAAATGGGGAACTACTGGGGCGATAAGGTTTTCATAAAGTGTGTGAAATAGGGAGATACAGGGGCGATAGTTTATAAAGTGTGTGAAATAGGGAGATACAGTGGCAATAAGTTATAAAGTGTGTATGACTGGGTGATACAGGGGCGATGAGTTATAAAGTGTGTATGACTGGGTGATACAGTGGCGATAAGTTATAAAGTGTGTATGACTGGGTGATACAGGGGCGATGAGTTATTAAGTGTGTGACTTTGGGTGATACAGGGGTAATAGGTTATCGATAAAGTGTGTGAAATGAGGTGATACAGGGGCGATAAGTTACAACTCTGTGAAATGACGATTTACAGGTGCGATATGTTACAGTGTATATATTAGGGAGATACAGGGGCAATAAGTTAAGGTGTGTGAGATGGGACGATAAGTTAAAGTGTGTGAAATGGTGAGAAACAGGGCCATAAGTTTTAAGTGTGTGAAATCTGGTAATCTGGTAATTACCAGATTTCACACACTTAAAACGTATGGCCCTGTTTGTATGTGGAGATACAGTGGCGATAAGTTACAGATAAAGTGCACGAGATAGGGAGATACATAGGCGATAATTTAAAGTGTGTGAAATGGAGAGAAACAGGGCCTAAGTTATACAGTGTGTGAAATTTGGAGATACAGTGGCGATAAGTTACAGACAGAGTGCACAAGATAGGGAGATCTATAGGCGATAATTCAAAGTGTGTGAAATGGACAGAAACAGGGCCATACGTTATACAGTGTGTGAAATGGGGAGATACAGGGGCGAACAGTTAAAGTGTGCAATCGGAAGAAACAGGAGCTTTTAGTTTTAGATAACGTAGTGAAATATAGAGTGAAAGAAGACACGCCCTAAATGTAATGTGCGATATAACAAACAAGAACTACGTTAAAGTGTATATATAATGAGATCAAGCAACACAATTCTTCTCTGTTTTTCTTATGCCCACAACGAAGCACGGGAGCCCAGGCATATGTTGCCAAGTCAGAATTTACTTGAGTTACTGTTATGGTAATCCTATTCAGCCCATTATAGATGGGACTGTTGAGGTCCTTACAGACAGGAACTGCATGATACATAGGCTAGTATGACCTTTAGGGTGCTCCAGCTATAACTTTTCTTTCAAGGAGGTTAAAAAGGGATGTCCGGGACTTGCCCATTTAGTCTGCCGTCCAGTTGTTAGTCTGCCGTCCAGTTGTTAGTCTGCCGTCCAGTTGTTGGTCTGCCGTCCAGTTGTTAGTCTGCCGTCCAGTTGTTAGTCTGCCGTCCAGTTGTTAGTCTGCCGTCCAGTTGTTAGTCTGCCGTCCAGTTGTTGGTCTGCCGTCCAGTTGTTAGTCTGCCGTCCAGTTGTTGGTCTGCCGCCCAGTTTGTCTGCCGTCAATTGGTGTACCGTCCAGTTGTAAGATGGAAACTTCATCAGCATAGTTAGAATATATTTTAAGCAACCTTGACATTTCCTTTCTGGAAGCATCGCATGTTTACTAAGGATGTTGTCGCAATTAGAGATAACAATAAAGACAATACAATAAAAGAGAGAGGTCGTTCAAGACACTTTATTACACAAGCAGCAGAGTGATGTGAGAAGCCTGTAGCTAGCTAGACATCATCATCATCACTATCGACACGACTGTCTTTCTTCTCATCTGTATTCTTCAAATTCCTCCAGGCAGCATCTAACGAGAAACCTGGGAGCGACATCAACGTACACACACAAACAGAGACACGTGCTAAGCTGTTTGCCGTCCAGTCGGCCAGACGTCAATAAATGAACCAATAGTTGCACCAATCAATGAAGAATTAAAATCACTGCAAATGGCACATTCCCATACGTGCCTCGTGCCATCTTCAGCAACCGACATTCCCATACGTGCCTCGTGCCATCTTCAGCAGCCAACATTCTTATACGTGCCACGTGCCATCTTCAGCAACCAACATTCCCATACGTGCCACGTGCCATCTTCAGCAACCAACATTCCCATACGTGCCTCGTGCCATCTTCAGCAACCGACATTTCCATACGTGCCTCGTGCCATCTTCAGCAACCGACATTCCCATACGTGCCTCGTTCCATCTTCAGCAACCGACATTTCCATACATACCTCGTTCCATCTTCAGTAACCGACATACCCATACGTGCCTCGTGCCATCTTCAGCAACCAACAAAGAGTTGGCATACTAACAGTACCAGTGGCAACCTGATTAGAAGTCTGCTGTTGTTTCCGCTGTAATGTTGAACATCTTCCAGAACCTCTACAGTCTCACAATTAGTGTCTCAATCTATGCATTCTCAATCTATTCTATTGTTATGTCCATTTGATGCCCTACAGCCGTCACCACGTTTGCTTTATCATATAGTAGCTCACCGCTCAGTGCCGTGGCAGCAGCTAATCTATCAGCCTGATCGTGACGTCTCACCGCTCAGTGCCGTTGCAGCAGCTAATCTATCAGCCTGATCGTGACGTCTCACCGCTTAGTGCCGTGGCAGCAGCTAATCTATCAGCCTGATCGTGACGTCTCACCGCTCAGTGCCGTTGCAGCAGCTAATCTATCAGCCTGATCGTGACCTCTCACCGCTCAGTGCCGTGGCAGCAGCTAATCTATCAGCCTGATCGTGACCTCTCACTCTGACTTTCCTGGACAAAACATCCATGAAACGCTCTTGATCTGGGTCATACATTCAGCTAGAAGTCAGAAGGTGATCGCTGACAACCACGACCTCCCCCCCCCCCCCCCCTCCCCCCTCGCCGTCACAATCACTGCAGATTCACCACAGTGTTTTATTGGCTGACAGAGAAGTAAACAATCAGTCAACTGATTAGTCACACACATTTCAAGGGTGTTGCCTGACTGGTCGCATCTTTCGGAGCAGCAAAATACTTAGTCATAGGTCTTTAGAGAGTTTAGTGTCGTTCATAGGTCTCAGACGAATTAATTGATTAGTTAGAGGTCTCAGGAAAGTTAATTAATTAGTCAGAGGTCTCAGAAAAGTTAATTAATTAGTCAGATGTCTCAGGGAAGTTAATTAATTAGTCAGATGTTTCAGGGAAGTTAATTAATTAGTCAGAGGTCTCAGGGAAGTTAATTTAACAGTCAGACGTATCAGGGATGTTAATTAATTAGTCAGAGGTCTCAGGGAAGTTAAATAATTAGCCAGAGGTCTGATGGAAGTTAATTAATTAGTCAGAGGTCTCGGGGAAGTTAATTAATTAGTCAGAGGTCTCAGAGAAGTTAATTAGTCAGAGATCTCAGGGATGGTAATTAATTAGACAGAGGTCTCAGGGAAGTTAATTAATTAGTCAGAGATCTCAGGAAAGTTAATTAATTAATAAGAGATCTCAGGGATGGTTACTAATTAATGAGAGATCTCATAGAAGGTAATTAATTAGTAAGAGGTCTCAGGGAAGTTAATTAAGTAGTCAGAGGTCTCAGGGAAGTTAATTAATTAGTCAGATGTCTCAGGGTAGTTAATTAATTAGTCAGAGGTTTCAGGGTAGTTAACTTATTGGTCAGACGTTCCATGGAAGTTAATTAATTAGTCAGATGTCTCAGGGAAGTTAATTAGTCAGAGATCTCAGGGATGTTAATTAATTAGTCAGAGGTCTCAGGGAAGTTAATTAATTAGTCAGAGATCTCAGGGATGTTAATTAATTAGTCAGAGGTCTCAGGGAAGTTAATTAATTAGTCAGAGGTTCCATGGAAGTTAAGTGATTTACTAAACATCTTAAGGGATTTCTTTAGCTTGGTCAGAGGTCTCAAAGAAGTCAAATGTCGTGTAGGGGTAACCAGTTGTTCGAAAGTCATGTGGGCGTAATCATTTACTCGAATGCCCTGTAGGTGTAACAACTGAATCGAATGCCCTGTAGGTGGAAACACAGAATCAAATGCCCTGTAGGTGTGACCACTGAATCGAATGCCCTGTAGGTGTGACCACTGAATCGAATGCCCTGTAGGAGCAAACACTGAATCGAATGCCCTGTAGGAGCAAACACTGAATCGAATGCCCTGTAGGAGCAACCACTGAATCGAATGCCCTGTAGGAGCAAACACTGAATCGAATGCCCTGTAGGAGCAATCACTGAATCCAATGCCCTGTAGGAGCAAACACTGAATCGAATGCCCTGTAGGAGCAAACACTGAATCGAATGCCCTGTAGGAGCAACCACTGAATCGAATGCCCTGTAGGTGTAACCACTGAATCGAATGCCCTGTAGGAGCAAACACTGAATCGAATGCCCTGTAGGAGCAACCACTGAATCGAATGCCCTGTGGGTGTAACCACTGAATCGAATGCCCTGTAGGTGTAACCACTGAATCGAATGCCCTGTAGGTGTGACCACTGACATGTCCCCGGATAGTTACAGAGTTTATTTAACATACTCGAGAGCTTTAGTGTGTTCATTATTTTGTCATCACTTCCAGAGAGTTCATGGATTGGTAAAATAGCCCAACAATTTACTTGCTTAGTTTAACGTTTCGGGGTGGGGGCGTAACTGCTGAGTGAGTCCAGTACATTGTGTGCCGACCTGTGACTTTATCTGATGTTCATC